AGATTTATTATATGAACACTGCTGGAAGAAATATTCATTAGGCATTGACAAAATCAGAGGCATTTTCTCATCTAATACTGCAACATGAAATACACAACATAATTTTAAAAACAGTTGATGAGTAACTCCTCCTGGGTAACTCCTCCTGACACTGCCACCAGCTGTAATAATCCTGTGCTCAGCTGTCATTCACTGTTGGCTCTGATAGTTGGCCACTGCTTTGGGCAGAGATCTCCTGAGTTTCCAGGCAGGCTTCCCAGGCTTCTGGATGTCCAGAAATTCCAGATGAATGGCCACTGTGGGTGTACTATAAATCTGTGCTTCCCTGACATCGGAGAGTAATTGTGCAGGTTAAACCCACTGGGTCTACTTCTATTAAGTCTTTCCAGTGTTGGTACATGGCCTGAAGTGATATCACCTGTGGTGATAGCCTTGCCTGCAGTGGTCTTGTAAACCTGGCAAAGTTTTGCAAACAATGCTCAGATTTTCATGAATTTTTCAGTAATTTTATCAGACAATTCTACTTCACTGATTACGAGGCAAAATTGTTCTCAGTGTTGACTGATTGGGTCCAGTTCGTGTGGTTTTGGAGAGGCCTCTTGTCTTTTAGGGATGCTCTGTGTTTGAGAGCTGCTCCTCCTGGGCTGCATCCTCCATTCACTGCTACTAGAGTTACAGCAATTTGTACAGAGCAGCTGAGGAACCAGTGGCCCAGTGACTCCTGGACAGGGAACCCAGCAAGCTCTCAGCTTCCCTAATGCATCTCTGCCCACATGATTTTTTTGCTGTAACTAAGTGCAATTTGCAATAAATATATGCTCAGGTATAAAACAATCACCCACTTCACAAAAGGTCTCCAGTTAAATTACCTGTGTTTGTGTAGGAGTGTTTTCTTTTCTACTGGCAAAGACTCCTTATAAGGAGTAATAACACTGAAGAATCTTTTAAAGAAAAATGTTTATCGAAGGTCTACTATTTCACAGATTTTACTGTAGAATCATTTACGCAAAGTGGTGAGTCACAAGCTGAAGTTCAGTGTCTACAATTGATGGCAAAGTGAATGAATTTTGTGCATGACAAAGAGATCAGTAATCTGCATGCATTACAGTCAATTTATAATTGCTTTAAAGTCACATGGTAAATGATTATAATTAGGGTAGGAGCTGTTAAAATTGAGAACAAAAGAAGGCCAAAACCTAAAGCTATTTACTAAAATGT